TCAAAAATAGGAAATCACAAAATATTTATATTTTTAATCCAAAATCTCAATTTTTATGCAAAATCCAAAAATCAACCAATTAATCCAATTATGCATAAAAATCTAATTAAGCTCAAAATTATTATTTAAATTCTGAATTAATGTGGGATAAAATATATAAAAATTGGGCTTTATCAGTTGGTTACATAAAAAGTTCACAAGATTCCGTTGGATTTTTCATAAGTGAAAAATGTAAACTTCTTGATGCAAATTTTAGGAAAAATTAATTCGTATATTTACCTAGTTTTTAATTAGACCCTTATAGTCTTTTTTTATTATTTTTATTGGGTCAATATAATTTTTCAATTATGGATGTTAGTTTATATACTCATAATTTACTGATTTGTAAAAGCATCTGTGTTAGCAGCTATAACGATGGGACTCATTTATTAGCATACGGTTGAAAGAATTTTTCCATGTGAGTATAAATAAAATCCACTTCACCCAGTCAGAAACAATGAAGTCTCTATCTTCAATGATAGTAAGAGTTGAGGAGAGAGCGAGAGGAGAGAAGTAAAAGGTAATAGCAGAAAACTACTGCAGAAATGGAGAAAAGGCAAAGAGGTTGTCTCTTATTTGTGGGCTTTCTGTGCCTGATTGCCCTGGCTAGTCTGCAACTGTAAGAACAATACCAGTAGGAGTGATTCTGGATTCGAGTTCATCACTTGGTCCCACGGTTCTTAATTGCACCAACATCGGACTCCATGATTTGTATTCCTCAGGGTATTCCTATGGAACAAAGCTCCAACTTCATTTCAAAGATTTGCACGGCGATCCCCTCACTGCAGCTTCTGCAGGTAATCCTAACTGTCAAGTATTACTGATGTTTATGTCCAAAGAAAAAGGAAACAATCATGATACTAAGGTTTTTTTTTTTTTTTTAAATTTCTGTTTAATGTCTGTCCAATTAGCAGTAGAAGTGCGAGCTTTGTTCTTCCACGGTCTTTCTCTTTATTGATGACATGGAAATAGAATTCCTGATCCGCCGGCCCCTACTTGGCTTAGAAGTTACTACCTCTGCCTCCACTTCTTAATATAAGAATTAGCTAACTAATTTAAGTAGATTAAAAAATTTATTGAGTTAATTACTTGCAATAAATAGGTATTATCTTCTATAAAATATTTTTACTAATCATATATATTATCTTGAACTATCATTTGATGAAACATTAAACATGTACAATTACTACAAAGACTACATTGAAAAAAATAAATAAATATGAAAGACAAAATAAATTGGAGTCTTATATTTAGAATTAAATTGAAAGTCAACCAATTCTTATATTAATGAGAAGAGGTAGTAGTACTTCTCATGATTTTTTTTTTCTTTTTATAACCGGCATCCAACAACATAGGCCAATATTTGTAGATTCAGGTGAAAACTCTTCCTACATAATTCTTTTAGCTAACTTATATACACATAACCTCCTAATTTTTAGGTTGTATGGAGGTGGGTATACTTCTAAAATTTAACAATAGACCCTCGAACTTTTGCATTAAAGCAAATAAACCAGTGCTGTTAGTTTAGTTTGTCTTTATTAAAAAAATTAAATATATGTGAGTTAAGATTAGAATTGTCATGGACACATGACTTCAAATTTGAAGAGGTTACTTGCATAAAAAAAAAAAAAAACTTGGTTATTTGGTCAATATAACATATTCTGAAAAATAGGTCATAGGATTATTTATATACGGGTTAAAGTTTCAAAAAAATTTTATTATTGTTTAGCCTAAATTTGTTTTATATATTCGTAAAATTCGAACTCAAATATTATTTAGCTAGATATGTTTATTGAAATTCTTATTAATCAACTCAACTGGCATGAGCCTGGCTTTCTTCGCATCTGCCTGGCTTTTATATCAACTTTACAAAGTATTTGCGAATTAAACGGGCCAAAGCTTCATTTTTCAATTTAAAAACTAAAATATCACCCTCTCTTGCTTCTACTACCTTCTGTTCTTAATATAAGACTTAGTTGACTAATTTAGAAAGACTAAGAAAGTTAATCAAGTTAGTTATTTATAGTAAACATATATTGTCTTTTTTAAAATACCCTTATTAATTATGTGTGTTTAAATTATCCATTGATAGTAACTCCTTAAAATATACAGCGACTATAGGGATTATTTGAAAGCAAAATTGATAAATATTGGAGACAAAATAGATTAAGGTCTTATATTTAAGACCAAATTAAATGTCAAATTAATTTTTATATTAAGAATGCAAATACATATCGTGCACAAGAGCTATTTTGCAGAGGTCCCTCGCCCAAATTTCAGCTAACAACTCAACACTCTTCCTCCCTATGTTGTGTGTGATAAACAATATTGCTCTAGTACTATTCATTCACATTATTAAATTTTTGACATAAATATACTACCTTCAATCATTTATCTAAAAGCTAGTTGACTAATTTGAGTAGATTAAGAAAATTTGTTGAGTTAATTACTTATAACAAATAAGTGTTATTTTTCCTAAAATACCCTTACTAATCATGTGTATTACCTTGAATTACCATTTAATAAAACATTTAACATGCATGTGAAATTATTACAAGGATTACATGGAAAAAACTGGATAAATATGAAAGACAAAATGAATTAATGTCTTATGTTTATGACCAAATTTAAAATCAAACTAACTCTTATATTAAGGATCTCAAATGGTACTATTTTGTACTTCATTTATTATAATATAAATTGTTATTTTCTTGAAAAGTGCATATATTAAATAGAAGTGAAGTTAGAAAATCGTTATATTTTTGGCAGAATTAATGCAGTAGTTTAAGATTTTCAATAGTTCGTATGAAATATGCTAAAAGTACTTTATAAATAAGATGAGAAGAGTACATAGATTAAAGAAAAATAGCAAACAATCTGAATTTTTACAGATTTTAATATGCATTACTAAGAATAAATAAATATTGAAGGTATATCTTCATAAAATAAATTGAAAAGGATCATTGGCCTCAAGCAATCTTGCGCATACCATTTTTCCCCCCTTAACTTGCTAATGTTGCCACTAAGCAGCTTGGGATCTAATAAATGGAACAAAGGTGCATGCAATCCTGGGACCTGAAAACTATGAGCAAGCAAGGTATGTGGTAGAAGTTGGTGAGAAGCATGATGTAACAGTGATTTGCTTTTCTCCATCTGGTCCATCTCTTTTGCCACCTCGTTCCCCATTCTCCCTCTACTCCAGCTCCACTAGAAGCCATTGCTTTCAGTTTGAAGCTATCGCAGCCATTATCAGAGCTTATAATTGGCAGTCTGTGGTCTCCATTTATGAAGAGCCAGACTTCGGCAATGACATCATTCCATGTCTCACCTATGCCTTGCAAGAAATGGACACTCTAGTGCCTAACGTAATTGCCATTCGTCGACGTTCCAATGATTCTCAAATCACCGGCGAGCTCGACAAGATAAATCCCGAACTCACATATGTGTTTCTTGCTCATATGATGGTGGAGCTTTGGTCAAGACTTGTCACACATGCAAAAGTTAAATGGATGTTGAGTAAAGGACACGCATGCATACTTACACAAGGCTTATCCTTAGTGGTAGATCCCGAAGCCAAAGATATAAAAGTGAGAGCCTACATGGATGGTGCTTTGGGTGTGAGGCCATCAGTGGCTGTGAGGCGATCACTAAATGTTTCCAGCATTATAGCTAAGCGCTTTTCCTTAGCGAAAACATTAAAGTTTGAGTACAATAAACTAAAGTTTGAGTACAATAAACCTCTCTCTATCTGGAATGTGGGCTTACGACACTATCACGGCATTGGCCAAAGCGGTAGAGAAGGCCAGCTTAGGCAATTCTACTTTCGGATATGGGAATGAAAGCAGAGTTGATCTTGAAAATAGAGGAATGCGCAACAAAACAGGCCAAAAACTTCACAGAATTCTGGCTACTAATTTCGTAGGCCCGTCAGGGAATTTCAGTTTGGGGCTAGGACAACTAGAACCATCAAAAGTTGTGGTATACAATATTGTGAAAGGCTTAAAAGAAAGGATCATTGGGTATTGGAGACCCGAAATAGGACTTTTTCAAAATTACAGTGAAAATGGCGAACCAGCTGGTAAATACAAACTAAGGGACCCGATATTGCCAGGTAACACAACAGAGAGACCACCAAAGTTGAAAATTGGGGTCCCAAAGACGTATTTTACTCAATTTGTTGATGTTAATGTGAGTGTAGAAGGGCAGAATGTATCAGCCTCTGGCTTGGCTGTTGATGTTTTTAAAAGAGTGGTTCATGTTTTGCCATTTCCTTTACCTTGTGAGTTTGTGCCTGTGAGCAATGGAGAGCTAACTCCCTCCAGCTATGATGATCTTCTCTGCCATATCACAGACAAGGCAAGTTTTCATTCATCTCTGTTGCTTTCGATCAATTGTTTTACTTTTGTCAGCTTTTCTGTTTCTCAGTTTCTAATAAAGGAAAAGTCAGGCATGTATGTGTATAGTTTCATTGATGATTATATTCCTCCTGAAGCTTGAATACACTCGAGAACATCCTAGGATATGCTCAGGGACGGAACCATAAAATATTGATAAGGGGCTCCAAAGGTTCAAATAAAAATCATATTGGGGGGCACGCAATGTCAGATTTTTTTTTCCTTTCAGAAATTATCAGAAATTAGCCTGATCTACATGTATAATCCATGTGTATTACAAATGAAGCGAAAAATTTAGGTGGGGTATGTGGCTGCACACATCATAGGTCTATCCCTGAATATGCTTATGATTGAGAGGTATTGATTGCGTTGATAGATCTTTCCACTTGATAACTGATATCATCAGTACTGAGCATGCTGGCCCAAAAAACACACAATTTATATATATATATATATATATGTAGGGATTTATTTCCAACACTTAATGCCTATATGAAAATATTGCAGAATCTTGATGTTATAATTGGAGACATCACAGTTCTAGCGAGTCGCATAGATTGTGTTGACGTATTTGGATTCAAGCGTGTCCATGGTAGTAAAGGTGAGGTCCGACTCCGAAAGCAGGTGGATCCTCTTCAGACCTTTTGATTTGTTCCTTTGGTTAATTCTTGTTGCGATTTTTGTGGTTGCAACTCTTATTGTAATCACATTGGGGGAAAAAAAGCAGCAGAGAAAGGTGAAGAAAGCAAATACAGAGAATATGTCCGTAATCCCTTCCTTATTTACATGACCGGTGAGTTATTTTTTGTTTTGTGTAAATAGAGGAGCTTGATAAATAGTTCATTTTGTCCTTAATTGTAAGACCTCAGTCAACTTTGCCTTTTCAAATTTATAATTTTTACTCATAATATCCTTATTAACTACACATATTAAAAGGTTTTAAATCAATGGGTAACTTTTATGCATATAATTAAAGAGAATAATTTAGAAAAAAGAAGACACATTTATTATGAATAACTAATTCAACTAATTTTACTGTCACCATCAAATTAGTTGTCTAGTTCTTCTATTAAGAATTACAGGTAGTATTAATTTCATATATATACTATTTTGTTGGTTCAGTGGCTTTGAGAAGCTTTTTATGTTTTTATCTATGAATGATGATTTTATAAAATCTATGAAGTAATTAATGTTTTTTCCGATAGTACTCTTGGTATAGAACTATGATGAAGAGAGAGAGATTGAGAAACAGGATCAAAATTTCAAGATTTTTTTTTTCAAAAATTTTATGTGCATTGGTTAAGAGTAACTGATAATTTGGTAGAGGCAGTAGTTGTATGATGTATCAACTTGTTTCCTCGTACTCTATTTTGACACTGTGTATTATCAATGTTTTGTGTGTGTGATGATTGCAGATGTTGAGTTTTTGAAAAATGGGAATTCTAAATGGTTGGTGATAGTGGTCATGTTTCTATTGGGCATAGCAGTGCAAGTTTACACAGCAAATTTAACATCAATTTTAACAGAGGGGACAACGGCAAAGCCTTCACCATGGAAGCACGTGCAAGAGATCAGAAGGAACCATCGGTAAGTGGGATATCAAAACAATTCGTGGGTGAAAGAGCTTCTGATTCACCAAATAGGATTCGATACAACTCGGTTAAAGCTTTAGGAAGCATTATCAAACGAAGACAGAGAAAAAGGCATTGTTGCTATTTTTGATGAAACTCCTTATCTTATGCTCATGCTTTCCCAATGCCCTTCTTGCAAGATGACAGAACCAATCTACAAAACTGCTGGATTTGCTTTTGTGGGTACTGTTCTTCTCTCTTGCCCATTATATATATATATGGCGTATAAAACGTGGATGATGTGTTGTATTTTCAGGCGTTCTCAAAGAATTCTACCTTGGTCTCGAATTTTTTAGTTGCAATATTAAATGTGACTCAAAATGTGACGACGTTGGGTGACATGATGAAGAGCATCTCGTTAGACGCCACTATTGACAAATCCGAATTCAAAAGTGATGTGAAGACACGAAGTTTGACGATAGAAGACTTTGGAGGCCTTTTCCCAGTAGCATGTGTTTTAGCTGTCTTCTTCGGCCTTTCAATTCTGAAACCTCAATGGCTGCAAAAGAAATGGATTTCTTGTTGGACGGTTCGCGGCGGAGGAGTTATATATTGAGTAGCCAGCTGAAAAAATCTGTTAAAACCATCATTTTACGTATGTGTAGTAACTTACTGTGAATAGTAGTCCAAGTGAGGAGAATAAGGTGATGAAACACTAAAATTGAAGACCTTCTGGTTGTGACTGGAGAAAAACAAAAAGGAAATCATTGCCCATCCTATCTGCTTATTTGTAATGAATAATTCACCATGTTCTCTCATTTCTCTCTTCTCTTCAGTCAGTTTATTATCTGTTGAAATTGCCTGCAATAACATTATTGCATTAAATTATTACAGAGTACGATGAAGAACACAATTTTATGGCCCTTTTTAACTTAGGAATTTGGAATTTTTGGCGCAACAATTCCAGGTGTCATCCCACAAAAAAAAGACTACTAATATGTTTTATTGGAGGGAATTATATGATTTAGTCTTGAGTACATTGGAGAGATAAACTTCTTTTTCGGGACAAAGAAACGCAAATTCATGTCTTGACATAAGTTTGCTCTGGAACGGCATCCTGAAATAAACATTCCGAGCCTATACATATCCTTTTCCTGAAAGAAGTAGCCTTTGGGGTTCCATAAAATAGGGCAACAAATGTCGAATCCCGGCCCTCACCCTCATACCCTCACCCTCACCCTCACCCAAAGTTTAGCTCGCTCAATACCCACCCTCCCTAACTGTCTTATGTGTGTCTATATATGTTAAAAGCGTCCATGGATTGGGTAAAAAAGAAAAAAAAAAAACTTGACTGGAGAAAATTTTCCAACCAAAAAATTTCAAAATTCCGCTAAAGTATCATAAATAATAAAATCACACATGGTGAAATTCAATTGGAGAATTCAACATAAAAAATATAAACAAATGGGTTTTGTCCTAAAAAATTAGGGAGAATTAATATTATTATAAGATCCCCCAAAAAAAAAGAAAATGATTATTAAAAAAATCTTGTTTTTCATTTTATACATTAAAACTTGTCATAGTATACTGTTTTGTAGTCATTGAGACTTTGTAATAATTATATTCTTTTCCTGAGATTTTATAACAATTCTTCCAAAAAAAATTATCAAATAATATAAAATTCTAAATTTTTACAAATTTCAGTATACGTTAAGAAAATAAAATACTGAAGATATATATATTCACAAGAAACTTTGAAATTTCAAATAATTCATAAAAGTTGATTTTTAGAGTAAGTTATATTAAAAACTAACTTCGGTCTGTAATATGAAATCTGGTTTGTAATACTATAAACTAGATTTTATGCAAAGACAGGAGGTAGTTTATGCCAATAAACACGATTAAGTTTTGCAGAGGGAAAGGGAAAATGAATTTCGTAATTTTGGCATTAAGCAGCTTGGGATCCAATAAATAAGGAAAAGGAACTTGGTTACAAGTTTGATGTGCCTGTGATTTGGTTTTCTCCATCTGGTCCATCTTTTTGCCACCTCGTTTCCGATTCTGCAACAACTCCAACTCTGCTAGAGGCCATTGCTTTCAGTTCGAAGCTATAGCAGCCATTATCGAAGCTTATAATTGGCAGTCTGTGATCCCCATCTATGAAGAGCCAGAATTCGGCAATGACCTCATTCCATGTCCCTCTTATTCCTTGCAAGACATGAACACTCGAGTGCCTTACATAAGCACCATTCATCAAAATTCCACGGATGCTCAAATCAAAGCTGAGTTTAACGAGATAAAAGGAAAGCGAACATATGTGCTTCTTGCCCACATGACCGTCGACCTTTGGTCAAGACTTGTGGAGTATGCACAAAATGCAAGCATGATGAGTAAAGGATACGCTTGGGTACTTACTCAAGGGCTATCTTCTACGCTGGATCCTGAAGTTATGGATAAAACTAAAATGGGAGGCTCCACAAATAGTGCTTTGGGTGTGAGGCCAGCTGTGTTTGTTCACTCCAGCATTTACCCTCATATCTATTACTTAGCGATAGAATTGTCGAAGTACAATCAAAGCCTATCTGTATATGGCTTGTGGACTTGCGACACTATCTCAGCATTGGCCTGTGCGGCAGAGAACGTCACATATAGTAATGGAAGCAGAGTTTATGCTGCAAATATAGGAATGCGCATTGAAACAGGCCCAGAACTTCGCAGAGCAATTCAGGATACTGATTTCCGAGGCCTGTCAGGGAATTTCAGTTTGAGGCCAGGACAACTAGTACCATCGGCATTTGTAGTATACAATGTGAAAAACCAAACAGAAGTTACCATTGGATACTAGAGCCCCGACTGAGGATCTCATAATCACAGTGTAGTTGATGAACCAGCTGGTGAATTCAAACTAACGGACCCAACATGGCCGGGTAACACAAAGGAGAGACCAACAAAGTTGAAAATTGAGGTACCAAAAACGCATTTTACTGAATTTGTTGATGTTACTGTAGAAGGACGGAAAATATCAGCTACTGGCTTTGCTGTTGATGTGTTCAAAAGAGTGGTTGATGCTTTGCCATTTCCTTTACCTTGTGAGTTTGTACCCGTGAACAACATTAGAGGAGAGCTGACTCCCTCCAGCTATGATGATCTTCTCTACAATCTCAAAAAAAAGGCAAGTGTTTATTCATTTCTGTTTTTTTCAGTTGTTTTACTATTATCAGCTTTTGTGTTTCTCAGTTTCTAAGGGAAAGTCAGGCATGATATGCTCAGGGAGGAAACTAGAAAATATTGAAAAAATAAAAATTAATCTTCAATCTACATCTATAATCCATGTGTATTACAAATGAAGCAAAAATTTCAGGTGGGGGCAGCTGCTTATAACATAGGTCTGTTCCTGTATATGCCTACGATGATTGAGATATTAATTGTCTTGATTTTTCCACTTGATAACTGATATCATTGGTGAGCATGCTGGCCACAAAAAAACACACAGATGTATGAATTTCTCTCTTGCTACGCTACATCAATTGCTCTACACATGGCTGGTTATTTGCATGACAAGTAGGTTTCATTTCAGAGCCATTTTGGAGAGTCTCCGGACCCGGCCGCCGGCGGTACAGTTAGCAGCTAGCTAAACATCAGGAAAATCAGTATCTTTTGTAGGTGTAACTTAATGCGGGTAGTCCAAGTGAAAAGAATAAGATTGTGAAAAACTATAACTCGAAGTTTAAAACCTTTTGATTGTGTGTGCCTCAGTTTTATTTTGTAATGAATAGTTCTTCAAGTTCTCTCATTTATCTCTTCTCTTCAGTTAGCTTATTATTTGTTCAGCTCAATACCCTTCATATATATGGTTGTACATATATCTTTTGAAATTGTCTGCAATAACATTGTCGCATTAAATTATCATCTCCAGAGCCTTCAAAAAAGCTTCCTATCTAGAAAAACTCCAGTGGACTCTGGGAAGCTCCATTTATGAAGGTGCCACCTTCAAATAACAATTTCCTGAGTTCAACTATGAATGAGGACGGCACGATAGAGGTTTCTTTAAGGAGAAATTCTGCGTGTGAAAATATTGAAGTCAACCTCATTGATGTGGGAATGCTGCAGCATATGTCAACTTTACACAACCTAAGGACACTAAGTCATTAACATCAGACATTGGCTCCAAGACTTGGGGTGTCCAACGGGCCTCACTGTCGCCAACTAAGTTTAGTTTTGCGTTAAGACAAAATGTTCTAAACGTCTTGGAAATGTTATACAATCGTCATTTTAAGGAACAGGTTCACTTCTTCAAAAACTTGGAGATAATGGCTACAAACTTGTGATTTCGGCCGATATGGGGATCAACTTCGTCTTGGCATGAGAATGTGCAGATGTTGCAACGAAAAAGGGTTAAAAGTTCAATAATAAATGCCAAAAATTGCGAACATTTAGGAGATATATTGTATAAATAATAGATAATGATGAGCTGTCAAGGCATAAGGAAAGAATGGTGGATGCAGTAAAGATGAGACCATCACCAAATCAGTTAAAATTTTGTTGATACGTTTGAATACAGTATGAAATAAAGAGAATGATTTTTTGTATTTAAAGAGATTCCAATTTTTTGTTGTTACGCATAAGTATCTTCCTATTAGAGACTATCTCATTTAAGGTATTGTTGGGTATTAAATGTGAGCACCTCTCCTAATGAGAATTCAAACTTTAGTTTAGTACATTATAAGAGATTGGCCTAATCCCAATTTGATTAAGGGGGTGTTTGAGTGGAAACAAAAACATGACTTTAAAAATAATTTTACAGTATACGTAAGTATACGAAAAGAGTTTTATTTCAATTTGCATAAACATACTTTTAAATAGCATTCTTAGGGGAATCAAATACCCCCTAAATCTTGTAGGCACCCAGGCCCATTCCATTCATCATCAGGCTTCGACTTGGGCCAGCACACATGAGCCGAAGAGCTCAAGGTTTTAGCTGCACCATCTTGAGTGAAGGAATAGAAAAGAGTCAAAATATGATAAACTCATTATCATAAATAGTATTTAATTAAAAGCTTTTGATTGTGTGTGCCTTAGTATTATTTTGTAATGAATAATTCTCCAAGTTCTCTCATTTATCTCTTCTCTTCAGTTAGCTTATTATTTGTTCAGCTCAATGCACATCATATATACGTTTGCACATATATCTTTTGAAATTGTCATTAATAACATTGTCGCATTAAATGATCGCACAGTGGAAGGTAAATAACAAAATTTTAGGGACCTTTGGACATTGGAATTTAGAATTTCCGGCTCAACAATTTCAGATTTGTTTTATTGGATGGAATGTGATTTAGTCCTTGGTATATTAGAAAGACAAACTTCTCTTTCAGACAGAAAAACGTAAGATCACGTCCTGGCCCTTCATAAGTTTGCTCTGGAACAGCATCCTCAAATAAACATTACACGCCAATGCATACCCTCAACCCGAAACAACTAGCCGTTGGGGTTTCATAAAATGGGGCGATAAATGCTGAACTCCTTATGTGATCTCCAGGCCCTTCAAAAAGCTTCCAATTATCAAACATTTGTATAGGATAGTTCTATTGTATTGGGCCTTGGGCCCTCATTTTTGGTCGTACTGTTAAGGCCCATTAGAGTAGAAGCCCTATTTAAGGGTTGGGTCAGTTGTGCTCTAGTATGGACTTTTTTTTTTTTTTAATCATGATAAAAGTTTAACTCAGCTGGGCAAATCTCCTAATGTAATTATAGCATCAGAGCACAGCTGTTCAAGGTCCATCAGTAATGCCTCAAGAAGCACAATAAGGCAAGCGCATTTCTTTCAATAGGAGGATCAAGAATCAAGGAGCATTATTTCGAAGAAAGGTTCTTACGTCTTCTGCTGCTCACCACCCTCTCAAGAAACGCGCAAAGTTTATCGCAAAGAAAAGGAAGAGTGAAGAGAGAGAAGAGAGATAGTTGAGGTCAATAATGGCGGCAGAGTTGCAGAAAAGCTTGAAAGCTTGTTGTGTGTCAAGTACGAGCGTGGTCTTAGTAATGTTGCTTCTATAATAGATTTTTCAGGATGATCATTAGCAAGAAAAATGGAAAATACTGATATTCGCGTATTGATGCTCTTACTGTTACTGCCATGCGGCTAATAAATTAAAGCTCTAAAGTTAAAAGGAAAATTACGGATTTTAATTCAAATTAGATCTTTTTTTTTTTTTGACAAAACAAAAACCACCCACAACACACACCCAAAAGCTTAGCTTCCTTTAGGCTTTTGGACTTGGAGTTTGATGCAAAAGTGTGTCAAGCCTCGTTATTTTTTGAATATAAGCTGAATGAAATTATCAGTGAGATCACCAACAGGTGTTTCATCCTCATAAAAAGGTTTTTGGTTGTTTAACCAAAAAGTCTTGAGTTCAAGTCTGTATGAATGCAAAAGAGTTATTTGGGAGGCATGCGTTTAATTGGACAAGATAATACTCGAATCTAACCTAGATTAAGCTTAATCCAATAATAATGTTATTAAGCCTTAATGCTATCAGCAACTCATATTACAATTTATAATTTATAAATTCTTAAAATCAAAGTAAAAAAATAACAAAAATATTGTAGTGAATAGTTAAATAAAAATAGTCATTGAATCTTTGATGACTCCCAATACATTTTTTGAATTTTTAAAATAAAAGTAATCAATAATAAAATTAAAGTAGCCAATCAATTAATAAAAATAATCAATAACTAAATAAGAATAGAACCATCTTTGACATTCCTGTAGTGGGTACTCTTATTTGTCCTCCGGTTACCTCCCTCGTATCATATCTTGCGCGTTGAATTATGTAATACTCCTCGGGTCCTTAATATAAGACCTATTTAACTAATTTGATTAGATTAAGAAAATTAGGTAAGTTAGTTAATTATAAGAAATATGACACGTTTTTCCTAAAATACCATAATCATATTTCTTAATACCCCATCTTTCTCTTCTACTTGATTATGGTTGAAAGAGTATCCACAGGGTAATTTAGAGATAATTAATAAATATGAGAAATGGATCTTATATTTAGGATCAAAACCAACTCACTAATTGGGTCTTATATTAAGGACCAGAGGAGTACTTCTCTTATTCTTAATATAACACCTATTTAACTAATTTGATTAGATTAAGGAAGTTAGGTAAGTTAGTTAATTATATGACATGTTTTTCTTAAACCACTATAATCATCTTTCTTAATTCTCTCCTTCTCTTTTTACTTGATTATGGTTGAAAAAGTATCTACAGAAATAATTTATAGAAAGAATTGATAAATATGATAAATATGTTTTATATTTAAGATTAAAATCAACTCAATAATTAGGTGAGCAGAGGAGCAACATATTGTTCCCCATCATACCATAAAACACATTTTCAACTGAATTTCTACGTTCATTCAAACATTGACAATTACTCAGCCTTCACTCCTACAGATTGCATTGAATAATTGGTGATAGCCACTCGTGTGTTCGTGAGACAAGAACAAGCGTCGCCAATTAATGGTTCAGGGATGATGCGAAATTTGGATAATTGAGAACGGGCCAAGAGAATAATTGTAAAATTGTGCAGCCAATGGTCCCATCACATCCGAGTGGGGACAATGGCATCAGATAGAGACCGCATCCAGGTCCCCTTCATTTTCCCTCCATCCCGCATCTGTTTTTCATCTTAATAATTGATCCCGATTTCATATTAAATAAAATTTAGTAGTTTGATTTTATTTATTTTGTCAAAAAAATTAACATTTTATTCATGGTTTTATAAAATATTAAATCTATAGCATTTAAATTGTAATATTATACTTCTCTATTTTAAAATATTAAAAATGAATTTCATATTTAGATTTGAAGGAGGTAATGGTAAGATAGAAAGTGGAGGAAAAGGGCGCACAGAGACCTCTTCTGTACGGCCCACCTTGTCTCCAGGTAATAGTGCTCAGGTAACATTCTAGATGGGGAAAAAAATCGTGAGGGGCAGTTTTATCTTCTTCTTTTTATTTAATTACGGGGAGCAAAATGGGAAATAATTAAGAACACGTGTCACGCATCCATTTGCCCAAGGTCCATATGCTTATCTATTTGGTCTTCCCTCATGCATATTCAGCCCGACACGGCATCACTTTATCTTTGTTACCACATGATTCATGTGCTGCGTTCGTTCCCCCACGTCACTCCAGCCGACGTCATTCTGTTCCCCCTTTTTTTTTTTTCATCATCCAATAATCATGAAGCACCTCCAAAATTCCGTTTAACTTTTTACAGACATGTTTTCTATTTTGAAAGTCCAAACCATTAACTGTTTCAAGAATATTCTGAAAAGATTTTTTAAATATAATTTTAATTAAAAGTTATATTAAAATAAATCTTGTTTATTACTTTACTTCTCATTATATTAAATCTCTAGTTTATAGTTTAATAATAATACTCCTCCGGTCCTTAATATAAAATCCATTTAACTAATTTGGTTAGATTAAGGAAATTAGGTAAGTTAGTTAATTATAAGAAAAGTAACATATTTTTCCTAAAACACCATAATCATCTTTCTTAATACCCCTCTCCCTCTTCTACTTGATTATGGTTGAGGGAGTATCCATAGGGGTAATTTAG